ATAGCGCCGGCGTTTTAACGCGAAGTGCAACCACCCGGTGGGTGCTGCTCGATTTCGAGCTCGATTCCGCCACACTCTCGAGGTGGCTTTGGCAGCCTGCGCGCGCGCCGAGTTCGACGCGCGACGTCCGCCTGCGCGATGGGCGCCCTCGCGCGCGCGAGCAGCGATGTGGTGGTCGAGATCCTCTCCTGCCTCGACATCGAATCCGTGCTCCAAGTCGGCGGCGCGTGCGCATCGCTGCGGCGGACGACCTTGTTGGATCGCGCCTGGACGCCGCGCCTGCGCACGTGCTGGCCCGGCCGCTTCGATGTCGACGCCGGCGCGCTCGCTCAGCTCGCGACGCTCGAGGTAGACCCTCGGCGCCTCTGCCTGCAGTGCCTCCCGTGGCGCCCGCGGCGCGGAACCGGGCCGGACGGCGCGTCGACGTGGCAGAGCGCTTTCAGCTGGCGACCGCCGTGGATCATGCCTGAATCGCTCCATCAGCCGGCATCGTCGGGCGACTGGTTCTTCGTCGAAATCTACGAGAGCAACTCGACATACAATGACAGTGTCGATCGTCGATTGCCTGACCATTTACGCGTCTCCATGCCTGAAAACAGAGGAATAGATTTCCTCTATGGCCTGGTTGCGCGCAAAGTCGTCCGTCTAGAAGAGTGCGATGTGGACGGGTTCCCGAACGTTCACGTGCCGCTGAATGTCGACCTCAACAAGCATGTTGACGGGACTAATGCCTCCCCTTTATTCGAAGTCCGTGTCTTCATGCAGCTGGACGGGATCTTGGTGCCCCTCGCGGACACTTGTTGTATGGTCAAGGGTTGTGGTGTGGGTCATGGATACCATATTACGAGTCGGTGGATTAACGAAACTGAAAGATTATTTGTGGCCGTCCAGCAAGTGTACGTTGATGTCGACCGGGACGACGATACGGCCCTTACCAGTGCTGTGGATTCAATTGAGATAAGCTGGTCTTTCCACCAAAACACGGTGTCCCATGATGGCAAGTTGGGAGCGGGCAAGCAGGCTCTGCGTGACTTTCACAAACAAAATTCAGCACAAGTCATTTCAGCACTTCACGACTCTGGCTGGGGCGACAATAGTTATTCTTTCGCCTGCGACTACGAACGTGACCGTCGAAATCCGAGCCTCTTCGACTTCATGCGCAAATCCGCCGATGCACCACGACAGGACCCTGGGCCGCCGCTTTTTGAGACCCCTCACCACGACGCACTGGCACCTCGCCGCCTCACAAAAAAAAAAAGCGGTTAGGGCACATGACTGATGCGGACGCC